TACCCTGAAATTCATGCACTGCACAAGTAAGTACATAGTGTACACAGTGTACTACATGTTAGTTTACTAATGGAAGAATCCTAATTGAGACACAGCTATAGTTCTTTGCAGGAAACCTTTAAGAACTTAACAGGGAAAAATGAGTCTGAAGTAAAGTTAAGTTACTCCAATACTGTCGTAAAGCAGTCGACAAACTCATCAGTTGTTTCAGTTCTAGTCACATGATCTACAGTATATTGTCATACCGCCCTTCACATATTGCATGAATACTCTACAAGTATTGAGGTGCACAAGTTTGTCTTGATGGGAACATAGGTGGAGGAGACAGGTGTTCTCCATACCTACAACCCACAGTCTGTCTGTGATGACATCTCTATTTCAAACATTAAGACAATCAGGTAGAGAAAGGTGGAGATAAAATAGTTTAGTCACGATCAAGCATTCCCTCCACGGAGGTCTGCTGAATCCCGCAGAATGGAGCGAAGCTAAACTGTCCCAATCACACTGATGTGGGCTTAACGAGCAGCTTTAAATTCGTCTGCCAATCATGGCACCTTAAGACCCTCAATCCTCAACCTGAAGGACTTTACCTGCACGTATCTGGGGGTAACTACATCAAAAGTTGATGGCAGCGGGGCCTACAGTGGCTCATTGGTATGAGCATAGGTGTCTGTTCAGCTACAATAAGTCCCAGCAAGTTCATTAAGCAGCATGAGGGGAGAAGGACGAACAGTGGTGCAGATAGACTGCCTTGATCAATGTAGATGAATGTTCTGCACTGCTGCATGAGGGGCTACAGGGATAAAGTCTGAAGTGAATTAATGTATGTGCACTAAGGGTGTGCATGTACGTGTGGGTGTAAAGAGAAAGAGGAAATATGGAAACTTCAATTGAAGAAGTCAAGAGTGTATGAGGAAGGAATGGATATAGAAAGTATGAATCTCAAAGTTATCTGTGTAAAGCTCCATGAATAAAAAGAAACAAGTTTGAAATTTCAATCAGTAAAAGTGACAGGCTAGAACACATAACATATAGAAGATATGTCTCCTTCAAGTAAGTGTACCATTTTTTTTAACCATTCCAGGCTGTACTTCCTGCCATAACGGCTATAAATATGCATTCTGGACTGCCGCTGAGATGTCGGTCAGGTACTGTTCTCGGATCTGATAAGCACAGTTCCACCAACAGCCAGAAAACACAATAGAGATAGCAGACTGCAGACACAACCTGATTCCTATTCGTCATCTAGATGTCCTGACAAGGACAGGTGCTGTGATGATGTGTGGGGAGGAACTTCACTCATTTTAGGTAGATAGTAAGAAACAAAGATAGAGGGAGGAAAGAGAAGCACCTGTTCTGTCTGTCTCCCAACCTGCCTGACTATGTCCCAAGGCACTATCATCTCCCTAAATAAGAACACCTTGGAAAATGAAGGAGGGTGCTGGGGGAGCAGGGATGCTGCTAGAAGAAATTAACATATCTGAAAGAGTCTATTGTTTCAGAGAGAAAGCTGCTTCACCAAATTGAAACATGTACACAAAACACCAGTGAAAGAGAATATGTGTGTATGTGTGTGGGGGGGGAACGATTCACAAAGCAACAGAGGAAGTATCCATCTTTAATATACTTGATTTGTGTTGGAAAATCTCAAAGACAGATGCTTGAATATCATTTGAATGCATTTGGGTGCTGACTGGCCTGGCAGGCGAGCAGGCTGGCACTTGTTGGTAGCCAAGCTGTCCCCATCCTGATCATTACGTTGTTTCATTCCACTCTGTCAGCCTGCTCCATTGTCAATCTGTTATTTTTTATTGTATTTTCTTTCTTTTTTTTAAACAAACACTTTATTTTTGTTTGTCTAGTCGCCTTCTCCCCCAGAGGAAAAATGTGCTTAAGGAAGCAGTATTGGGATGTAGAGATTAATATACGTGTAGCCAGCAGAGTCTAGCAGTTGTCTTTGCAAGAGTAATAGAACAATTCCGTAAGGACAAAGACAATATGACAGTGTGTGAAAGAGAAAACATCTTCAGAGAGAATGATAGATCACAATACATATGAATAATGACACACTGAGAGCCTGCCACACAATTTTTTAAAATTCAAATAACTTTGTTTTCTTTAAAAGGACAGGCATGTGCTGAATGGATCAAAATGATACCAAAAGTAAGCATAACAAAGAAAGCTGTGCATAACCGTAAGTAGATCTGAAAGTTACATACAGTGTAACATGCAATTGCCTCTCTTGATCTTGGCTATAGAACAGATGTAAGAAATAATTTGAAGCTTTGACTGGCAGAAAAAGTCTTTCCCTCAAGGCTTCAATGTCATATTAGATGCCTAAGCATAAGATTATTGTTGCGGTGAATTCATTTTTGAATATTGGATTGTTACATCAATAAGCAATAGAAGGTTATCAGGGGCCTGGGCCTGGGCACCATCTTGGTAACAGGTTTGCTGGTTCAGCAACAACAGAGTGAGGATTTGACAGCAGGGAAAATACTGCAAACAAAAACATCTGCTATTATTCAATTCCCAGTTGTGGCATATCTTGACCTGATGAAAGGAGAAATGAATAAATCATGCTCCATTAAATGTCATTAGGCCTGTTAGCAAAATCTAATTCTACTAAAGTTCAGCGCCGGTTTACAAATTGAATGTAATTGCCCAGAATGCAAATGGACTGTGCTGTTGTTTGTGTGAATGTGAGACCAAGCGAGAGAAGAGTGCGAGAGGGAGAGAGAAACACAAAGAAAAACAAAATGTGCGAGCGGAAGAAAACCTTTAAGCGGCAGCATAATGGGCAACACTTTCCACAGTTTTCTTACAGTTTTTATTCAGAAGTCTCAGGGGCTAGCACGCCGGGGAATCGTCGATTGTCAAAGCTTTAAAAACTGATGGTTTCATTTCAGGAAAAAAAGAGGAGATGTGGGGGAAATGTAATTACCCAGCGAGTGCTGTGTGGGAGTTTTACTGTTTGATAATTATCCCTTAAAGGCATGCTAAACTTTTCCTTAGCTATCTGTTTAAAACTCCACAGAGACAGAGAAGTACGAGAGAGGTCACCCAGCTTTGGGAGGAAACGCAGGAGAGAATGAGAGGAGATAAATGTGAAGGAGAGTAAGGATCAGATAAGTGCAAACTTGTTGGGTGCTGATAATACAAAAGCAAGAGAGAATAGGAAATAAAACAATACATCACACAGCAGCACATCTTAGAAGACAAGTTATTGCCTTGCTAAGTCACAAAAATGTATCGACTTGTAATGGGTTCCATAAAAGTAAATGTTGAATTTCCGTGGAAACTGCTTGTCTTTTTTGGGATGAGGCATCAAAGCATGCAACATTTAAGAAATGGATGACTGAAACATTTTATAGGCCACTTTTCATTTCACCAGCTCTCTTTACCATGCCATCTGTCTCTTTTATAGATACACAGCACACACACATGCACACCATACACAGATACTGTATTTACTGCAGCTCTGCCTTTGCTTCACACCCACAAACAGGATTGCAAGCACACACACACACACACACACACGGTAAGCCCAATCTGCGTGCACAGATACTGTATTTACAAAATGACTGCCTTGTCCATAGAATCCTCCAGTATGAACCAGTAATTCGAAAGCCTGACATTATGGCATGGCTGAGAACAGAAAAACATTTGACAAAAGGATAACATTAAAATCCAAATGAAAACACACATGAAAAAAAACAGTCAGGTCTGTTTACCCCAGACTCTCCCTGCACTTCCCTGCTCTGAAACTCAAACTGGAGACTTTCCAAAAGCGGTGAAAACACGATCAGAATATATTTCAGCTAAAAAAAAAAAAGACAGAAAATCAAGTGCAAACATCCATGATAAGCACAAGGTCTCTCTTCATGGGCTTAAAGGAATGTCACATTAACCTGAAGCAACTAGTTTCATGTCACACCAAAGATTTTCACCATTTTTATGTGGCTAATTAAGTTTTTTTGCTGCCCCTGCCCACAGTAGTGCATTGCTCTGCTTCCCTACCAGGACTTCTGTCTGCTTCTCCAAACTTGAGGTGCACTGACCGCCGTCTTCTGTAAGTATGGACTATGGATAAATACCTCAAACCTCACTTTAAAATACCAAAACTATCCCTTTAACTTCATTATCACTTTATTCATCTTGGTGATGCATTCATTCTAATTAATGAAGGATTGCCTGGTGCCATGTATATGAGTGGAGGTGGTTGAGGGAGCATCCTAGGTGCACACAAATGCACATCCATACATAGAATCACTATGACCATTCAATTCTCCAATTCAGGGACACAGTTTAATTCCAATTCTGAGATGTTATACGTCTTTGACTATAGTTTGTGACTGTGTGCATTATTGTCAGTGTCACTCTGTATGTGTTTCTCCATTTGCTTGCAGGATGGTGGTTCTATTACGCCAGAGAGCCAATTAGCGTCTCTCAGTTTGACACCCGTCTCGTCAGGACCAGCATGCTCACACATGTTAATTGTGGTCTTTAACGGCCACTGAGGTTTCAGCTGCCTCATTACAGCAAGAACATGCAACTAACAACCAGGGGGATGATGTGGCAAAATCTCAGAACCACCCACCCACTCCCCTGTCACTATCTCTCAGTCACTTCTTCCCTCCTTCCTTCATGCTCAGAGTTAGTTAGTAAGTAACGACCCTAAGGAATGAACTTCCAGTGAAAGCTGATCCATCTTAATGAAGCCACCCCTTAGAAAACTAATGTGCTCTGGTCATTTGGAATTTTTTTTGAAGAAACATGAAATTTCAAAGCAGCAGTCAGGAAGTGTTTATCAATATTCTCCACAGAAATACTGTATATTGTGTAACATTGACACATCTTGGAGATCTTGGTTAGAAACAAAAGATCAAGTTGTGCTGATAGCTATGCCCAATATTGGTAGGAAACACATGCAACATCAGCAAAATACTTGAGTGAGCACAGGGGCACTTGGGAGAAACATATGTTGGGGAAGCAAAGGCAACAATGAAAAGACTTTAATAAAAGGGAGAAACAAATAGTAAAAAAAAAAGTACATCTGTGGAAGTTGGCAGGAAAAACAGGAAGACAAGCAATGAAAAGGAGATAACCTGATGTTGTTGATGGACTGAAAAAGTCTACAAATGGAAGTAAAATTAGAATTCAGAAAATAAGGTACCGCCATAAAAGAAAAAGTGTTCAGAATTCAAATAAGATGAAATAAAGTGAAGAAAATCTTAAATCTACAGTGAGATCATTTTCTTGCCCATCCATTTCCAAGTCAGCTACACTTCAAGTCTGTAAAAAGGGTAGAACAGAACCATTTGGTGTCCAAACGTTTGTTGCTTGGGCGGCATATAAAATGTAGTGCTTGCTTATTACATATGTGCCATTAGAGCTACAAAAAGATTCATGGTCTGAACATTGGCCTGAAGTATTGAAAAGGTTGGTCATAGTTGTTTCAGAGTGGCCGCTTCCCTTTGACATGGACTAAGTAATCTACATTTTTCAGATGAGAAAAAATGTCTCATGGTCTACTATTTCTGACGGCATCACACTCAACCTGTAAGCCCCTCCAGTGCATATTAGAGGTGACGATCTGACAAAGCCAGACGGACAACATCATCAGCAAACAAGAGAGATGCCACCATAATGTCATCCAACTGGACTATCCAGACCTCTGCAGCATTTTGATATCTTGTGCATAAACATGCAAACATGAAAGGTGATAAGGGGCACACCCTTGTCAGAGTACAGTGCCCACATTCACCGTGCTTGACTTTTATGCCAGATGCAGCACTTATTCAGAGTGTACAGCAAATGCATGGGACACCACAGCAATCCCTACACCTTGTACTCATGTAGCACCTCCTCAGGGACCACTGTCATAAGACACAAAACTCATGTAGATTCATGTTTCATAATATTCCATGCTGATGTGAGCGGATTAAAGTTTCCTGAAAAGAATCATACTTTTCACATTTGTTTGACAATAACAAGCATGATTTGAAGATTAAATTGGATGGAAAAAAATTTAGGAATTTGATTGAAAATACATTTTTAGAATGATTTTGAAGGGATACCTGATAGAACATCAAACTCTGTCCATTGAAGGAGAGAAAGAGAGAAGCAAAGGGAGACGTGGAGAAAGAGAGAAAGTCCTAGTCCTAGAGCACTGAGGGGAAGGTCAGAGAAATGCAGGCAGATGTTAGAAGATGTCCCAGACGTATTCTCGTTGCTGCAGTGTGTTATTCTCTCACACCTAGTAGAGAGGGAGAGAGAGAGAGAGACCACAACAACAACCGATTCAGAATCAAAAAACACTCAGAGGCAGAGCTCAGCTATCAATGAAATGCATGCATTTATGTTTATTTGGCTTTCAGGTGTAAACACGTTTCCATACATATATATATATATATATATATATATATGGGCACATACTTGGGTTATTCACACAAACACAGACACCAAAAGCTGCCTCACTTGCATTGCGTAATCTCCCTGTCATTGCCCAACTTGCTGTATTCCTGGACAAGTCAAGGAACGTTGCGAGGATAGCATAAAGACATTTGTTGCTGTATCCTTTCACTTTGCTGCTTATAATACAGGACGCGTCTCTCTCTGCCTCCAGACAACCTACACACACACACACACACACACACACACACACCTGCAATAGCTATGTCAGTCCACCCAAGGACACTCAGCATGTCAGCTCTGATTAAGCCTCCACTCAGCCTGTACAATGGAGTTCCTGGGTGGAGGGAGAGATGCGGGGGAAAAGAAACGACTTGTGTCCAGTAATAAATCGCTGCAGGCAGCCGGGCTCTTCAGAGCCATGGCCCAGCCGACCCCCAACAGATGCCGGCTGGTTTGGCCTGCCAGTTGCGTCCCGGCCTGTGAGCCAGCACCATCATGAGCGATGGCAGCGGTCCAAAGCGGGGGTCTGCCACCACAGGCGCAGGTGTAGACATCGTTAACATCCAATAAGAAGATAGCGGAGCCTGGCGGGTGGGGCAAAGTGATATTGATGGAGGCCTGTCTGCAGTTGCTTGGTTCACTAAGCAAATATGAGAATAAATATGGCCTTTTCAATAGCACGCACCTTTCATTTATATTAACCAACAGCCTCAATGGTGCACAAGAGTATCCATTAACAGCGGTCACTACGGGTTGACAACCGCCGTCTGTTTGTAGTTTTATTTGTGGCTGTTTTGACTGTTTTACAACTCTCCTGTCCTCTTTCAAATGACGTAGCCTGTATATGCAAAGCATAATCCAATATATTCCGCTCCTGCCAAGTCAGCAAAGTCAATTATGTTGGTTGTTTATTTGGAAGTTGGAAGATTATGTGACCATTTGCCAAGATAGAGACATGATCAGCTGCAAATTAATCCTGTGAGGATTCATATTGATTTGGCACGCGCTTTTTTCCTCCTCATTGTGCTGGTATTGCCAGGAAATTGAGTAGTCGTGTGAAAAACAAGAGCATCTGAGACAAAACAGCAAAGGATAAACAAGGCTGGACTAAATGATTTGGTGGCTGGCCATCCATCCATCATGAATTAGCTTCTCTAGGCATCTAACCTTGTCCAACATCAACTCAGTTCTACAAATGCAGTCTCTTCCTTGTGTTTAAATAATCCTATCACATGTTCCAGTCGGACACAAAGCCTCCCTATGCAGCTGCCCAGTTCTCCACCCAGGCCCAACCCCATGATTTTAGGCGCCTTTAGACCAGTGACAGACAAGCTGGGTGCCTCACAGGTTAAAGCTTCCTGGAATTCATATGAGCAGCGGACAGCGGGGAGATTCTATTCGTGGGTTCAGGCTCCTAGGTCAGTAATGATATTGTGTCCAGAGGCAGAACACCCTCAGATGAGTAGTGTCTGAGCTGGATCTGAGCATGAATCAGGCAAGTGGGAGTGGATATTTTCTCCTCATGGCAGAGCATTCGCATTTCTGACGATTCTCCTGAATCACCACGATGATCCACACCAGCGGTCTATCTGTGCCTCAACAGAAGCCTCCTGTGGTGCTGAGGACTCTCTCCCATGAGCAGTTTGTCTATTGAGGGGATTTCCCTTAATCTACTGTGTTTGAAGATAGCATTGTTGCTGCCACTGACTTCAGGTCAGTGGGTATGTGATTTAGGTGCCCTGTTTGTCTACTTGAGCTGTCTGTTCGTTTTAAAAGCAAAGAGGTCATATGCTTCAGCTAAAGCCCTTGTTTCTAAAGTACATAAGAACATCCCATTTTCTTTTTCTTCTTTGTGTGCCATCATCTTGGAGTGGTTCCTTCTCTTCTTAAGAAAGCTTGGCCTGGGTTGAAAAGTGTTATCTGGGCCTAAAGGCCAGAGTGACCTGGTAATGTTGGGCAAAACAAATAAAATTAACTTAAATTTTAGGCCCAGGATAGTGCAGCAGAATGCTTTTTTTAGCTTCATGTGGGATGGAGGCGAATCTGGATTGCTTAATGTGTGCTCTGGCAAGTCTTTTCAGATGCTCATAGCAGGTGTCTGTTATGGTTATGGGCTCATTGCAAAAACAGCTACACAGTCATTGACTGTGTTAAGGTATTTCATGCACCTTTGGGTCAGCAGGCTTGGATCATCCAGGAACCATTCCCAGACATTTCACCAAGAGTAGCAGATCGAAGTAGCGGTGCATGTTATCACTCTCTCCCACCTGTGGCTATGCTGGTAGGTTGCTGTGGGTGGAGGACGCTATCTCACCAGTTTCCTTGTTAGAATCAGCCTGCGTGGAATGTGGAGCTCATTTCAGGCACTCATTTTCAAGTTTGAGTTGCTGCCAGGTTCAGGTACAATGACTATATACAGGCAGTGGATGATGTATGTAGTGAGTAACGAGGCTTGTCCTGAGTCCTGCCTAGAATATATGACCCCAAAAGATAACTCATTGGTTTAATGTAAATTAAAGGAAAAAATACAAAGGTATGGATTGCATGCATGGATTGGATGCATAAGTCTGAGGTGATGTCAGAAATATTGCTATTTGCTACATATGTATATCTATAATGCTAGAGTGAATAATGATCTATCAGTATGTCTTTAGATGCCTAAAATAAATACATTTTCACAACAACTGTTCTTTAATTGATAAATGGAGCAGCAGCAGTATTTTGCTTGAATGCACTGAAAAAAAACTTCTATGTTACATCTCTGCACATCATACTCTGTCATGCATATGTACTGTCAGTCTTGGGTGCTCTTATTTTCCCTCTTCTGTTTGCTGTATTTTTCTATTCATTAGCACTTGTACACAAAGACTGTGCTGCCATCTTTGCTCTCCTTGCAAATTATTTCATCCCTCCCCCGGCGGTGCGTGGTAGCACGCTGAGCCCCCGGTGAGTCTGGGAGCAACTTATTAAGTTTGCTACAAGGTTCCACCGTAGACCTCATTAGCCATTCACGATCACCTTGTGGCCTCACATCACTGTACACGTTAATGTTACATGACTGAGGTTGCCGCTCGGTTTCTCGCCAATTCCTTTCTGCTGTTTTGGGACATACTTGGCCCTCGCTATATTGATACTGCAATACTAATGAGCAAGCATTAGCTGTCATATTTTCATTCAAGAACCTATAAACCTTGGCGTAAGGACACAGGGAAAACACCTTGAGTGTTCTGGAGATAATACTAATTAGTTTGTGAGAAACAAATCATTTCAGAACAAAACATCAAATAACTAAACATTCACTTTGATTATGAGGCATTTGTTTATACAGTCCAAAAAAAAATGTTTTTGTGTCACCCATGATCAATGTGCAGGAAAGGGCAGGTAGGCCCTAGCATTACATTTCAGAGGGACACATGTCAACAAAAGCCTGCATAACCATTGAGTGTATGATGAATGTGAATAGACCCTAATGTGGTTGCTAGTTCATGTGCACACGTGGATAAATTATTTTTGAGGAGCTAATCTCTGATGGCTTTTTAATTAAAAGGATTATTAAAAAGCACCATCATGACACAAGACATGAGGAACTGCGATTGACTGTAATTAATTAATATTCCATAGCATTTTCTGGCATGCAGCCACTGCCCACACCACTGTTTGTTGAAGTCTGTATCCCTGATGTTCACAGTCTAGGATCAATTATGATGCTAATTTCACAAACACATACAACATTGCAACTTCAAAGAATAGTAGGTTAATGTTTACATCTACCATATCTGCAGTTACACATGTACTTCACGCATCCTAATCGATTTGTCTCATTCAAATTAAATAACAACAGTAGTGTATAGATGTTGCTGGAGGGCCTGATAAATCACTGGTTGAAATTTCAAGAGCATCTGCATTTTTTGTGTTTGGAGGTGGTGAGGCTGGCAGGCACACGCTGAGAAGGATGAATAATGACGCCGAACGAGAGGTGGAGGAAGTAAACACACTTGGCTGTTGTTTCTATTGGACATTTCACCCTGGGGCTGCCGTCACCTTCTCCTAAAATTTATTATGGCCTGTCTGTACCTCCTGCCGCAAAAGCCAAGTAATTCTAAACTGAGAGGCAACAGAAACTGTTCTTTGGATTCCTTACCTCCTGTTTTCCTTTCCTCTCGCTCTTTGTCTCCCATTTGTATCTCCCTCCTGCTCAGCCAGGAATGGACTAAGTGGTTGTTGTCAGTTGAAAGAGATTGTTCCGTGCTGCACACAGAACAATGGGACGTCCTGCCACAGACAAAGGCCAGCAAAGATGAACACACAGTCCCATCTTCACAACTCACCCTTAATGCACATGATACATGAGCTTACCATTGCTAACACTACACTCTAAAAGCCAGAAGACAGAGTCTAGACCCCTTTTTCTGGCCCTTCTTCTACTGCCAGGTCAAGCTACGGGGCTGGCCCATGGCCCACGTCTCAGAGATGAAGCTAAACCTGGGCATATCCCCGGTCCGGCCGCCTGCCAGCAGGCCCCACAATCCCTAGCAGTGGATGGAGAGCTCTCCTCCTCCTTTGTTCCTACCATATTTTTTCTTGGATTTAAAGGTTATCTGCAGCCATCCTGTCTGGGGCCTCTGGCGAGAGCTGGAGAGAGCAGCCAGCCCACCACAGGTGTGAGCGCTGCCGATAAGCGAAGTAAGGCTAGGACAGGAGGCAATGGGTGAGGGGCGGGGCAGAAGATGGCAAAGTGATATGGAGGTCCATCGTGGCCTGAGACTGACCTTCATTCACAATTTTGTACACAGACGGAGTGCTCCCAGGGTGAGAAAACAAAAAGGTCTGTGCCGCATATCC